AGGCGGGTCTCGAACCCGCGGGCTCAGGCAATCCACTCACCTCAGCCTCCCAAAGGCGCAGGATTACAGGCTGAGCCACCGAGCCCGGCTTTATACTCTCAAAAAAAAATTATTATAAAAAAAATTAACTGTACCTATTCCTGGCTAGGTTGCCCAGGAACAGGTACATGGCAGAATGGAACTTGCTGTTGTGTGACGGTGACCAGCCCCAGCAGGTTTTCCAGCATGATGGTGACGCAGAGGAGGATGATGAAAGCAAAGACCACCTAGCAGCAGGAGGGTGTCTCCTGCATCTCCAATGTCTCTTTGGTGTAAAAATTATTATTATTATTATTATTATTATTTGAGTTGGAGTCTCACTCCATTGCCTAGGCTGGAGTGCAGTGGCATGCTTATGGCCACCCCAACGTCGACCTGCTGAGCTCCGGCGATCCCTCCACCTCAGCCTTCCAAGTAGCCAGAATTTCAGGCATGCACTACTACACCTGGTTAATTTTTGATTTATTGTAGAGACAAGGTCTCACCATGTTGTGCCCAGGCTGGTCTCAAACCCATGGGCTCAGGCAGTCCTCTAGCTTCGGCCTCCCAAAGTGCTTGGATTACAGGCTTCAGCCACCGCACCCAGCCTATTATTTTTATTTATTTATTTTAGAGACAAGGTTCTCTTTCTATCGCTCACTGCAGCCTTGAACTCCTAGGCTCAAGTGATCCTCCTGCCTCAGCCTCCTGAGTAACTGTAGAAGTGCATGTCACCACCACACCCAGTTTATTTAGTTTATTTATTTAGCCAGTGTCTCATTCTGTTGCCCAAGCTGAAATCCAGCGGTGCTATCATACCTCACTGCAGGCTCGAACTCCTAGGTTCTACTGACTCTCCTGCAGAAGTCCTGCCAAATGACATGAAAAATACAACGTGGATGTCCAGAAACCTTGCCCACCTACCCAGAGAGCAAACCTCAGGTAGTGTCTGGAAGGTTTGTCTGCTTCCTGGAACACGCAAACACCTGGACCTCAAGCTGTCTGCTGACCTGGGTCAGGAAGATCCTCGCTGCTGATAACACTTCCCATAACCCTGTGTGTTAGGCTGGGTCTAAGCCTCCAGGCCATGCAGGCTCCCAGGATGAGGTCTTGGGAAGACACCAGAGCAGCCCTGAGGTTCAAACATCCCAGAGGTCACACCATCTTCAAGTATACACACCTGGGAGGCAACCCGGGGTTCCTTCCGGCTAGAAATCTGACACAATGGGCAAGCCCCTCAACACCTTTTCAGCCTCTTAACCCCAACATTCACACCTGCTCAGAGGGAACAAGAAAGCCCACTCCACAGGAATGATGAGAAAATTCTTTTAAATGATGCACAAGGCTAGGCATGGTGGCTCACACCTATAATCCCAGCACTTTGGGAGGTGGCGGCAAGACGATTGTCTGAGCCCAGGAGTTCAAGGTCAGCCTGGGCAACTTGGCCAGACCTCGTTCTCTACAATAAATTTTTTTTAAAAATTAGCCAGGCGTGGTGGTGTGCACCTGTAGCTCTGGCCGCTCAGGAGGCTGAGGCGGAAGGATCACTTGATCCCAGCAGACCAAGGCTGTGATGGCCTTGATCGGACCACTGCACTGGTCTGGGCGACAGAGTGAGATTCTGACTAAAGAAATAGACAAAGGACACACAAGGCACTCTTCCCACCATACACCCAATCTTTTCGGAGGGAAGGAGATGCTGGTAAGGACAATGAGACAAGATGACCAATGGGCTGTTCCCATCAGCACCATCTAGCTCTGCCTTGGGGCAGGGTCCAGGGGGGATGGGCAGGGCACTGGCGCCCCCCGCCCCAGGCGGGATGAAATCCAGATGTGAGCCCCTGAAGCAACCAGGGTGGAGTCCTAGCTTCCTAGTCACATCCGGTGTGGGGTGGGGGAGCCAATTCTGGGAGGTCCTGGCTGGGAGGATGGGGCAGCTGCGCCGAAGTCACGTGAGCGGTGAGGGGGGCGTGCTGGGCTCCCGCGGAGAGGGGGGAAGGCGTTTGCTTCCATGAGAGCTTGAGTCACCCCCTCTCAAGGAAAACGGAGCCTCTCTGGGGGAGGGGGTGGGAAGAGGCACCCTAGTGCAGAGAGGATGACAGGCAGACACCATGGCTTTCCCCCAGGCTTGGGGTAGGGTAGGGGGGTCTCAGAGGAGCCGGTGCAGTGTCTGCCTTTCATGAAGGGAGCTGGGAGGAATCTCCGGCCTACGGTTAATTGGGCCGAGGGGTTAGGGGGTGAGGAGAATCCTCCCCAGGTCCTAGGCAAGGACTGTGCACACCGTTCCAGAAGTCTGGTTAGGCAGGTTCTTAGTGAGGGCAGGAGAGATGAGGGGCTTTCGGGGTGGCCCAGCCATCTCAGTCTCTGTCTGCCTCCTCGGAGGGGCGTCCTGGCCCCTGGCCGGACGCAAGCAGCTGCTCCCCCAGGGTGGAGGGACATCCGTCCTAGTTTAGGAACAGACAAGGGCTTGTGTGCGTCCCCAGGGATCGCTTCCCCGCCCAGATCACCACACAGAGGCCCCTTGTTCCCTTGCTGGACGGAGCCCCGGGCATCTTGATGCCCTCTGCCCGCTGCAGCCAGTCCCCAGCTCACTTGGCCCAGGCCTAGGCCTTAGAGGGCCGGCCCGCGGACCGGCAAACGGCCTGCGCCCTGATTGGCTCATTTTCAATCCCTGGGCGCCGAGGGCCTCGTCCATTGGCTTGAGCATTCCATCCTTGGCCTCTGATTGGCCCATTTGGGGAGCTCTGCGGCTAGCCCTGATCCTGTCGTTTATATGCTACTGGAGCTCAGCGAGTTTCAAAAACTTCTGATGCTGGGTAGACGTCCCTGGGGGCAGTTTGGACCGCGACCTGACCACTGGGTCACCCCGTCCAGACGCCCCCAGGCTGCCCTAGCCAGCTGAGGTCCTCCGGGGGTTCATAACTGAGAATCAAAGTCCCCTTGCAAGCCTGGGAAGTACACTCGCTGGTGGGCAAGAAGCCCGGGGTGTGTCCCACGGCCACCCTCTCGGCTGGCCTCTCCGCCACTCGCTAAGAGAAATATTTATTGTGGCTTCCTGGGGAAATAAATGTGTTCAACCCTTGCACCCCAGGGACCGACCAGTCTGTCTTCTTCCCCGGAAGGGAAGTCTGGGGGCACTGCGCTCCCATTTTCTGTAGCCCCAGGAGGCTAAAGCATCCTCAGAGGGAGGAGAAGCTCTCCTAGAGAAGGGGAAACTGAGGCTCACACTATATCTGAGTCTCATCTTAACCGCCAGGACTTTGTTAAGGTGGGAGCTTGGGTGGTTGACGCTTCCCAGAAAGAGGAAGCAGGGCCCAGAGGTGGAGCTAGAAGAGTGATCCCCAACCCCAGGCAGATACAGGCTTTGCCTGTGTCCCCTTCCCTGTGTCAAGCTCTCAGATTTAGGGGAGGCCACAGAGCCTGTCTCCTTCACCAATGCTGTCCTGACTCCCTCTCAGAGGCTCAGGAAGAGGCCACAGGGCTCAGAACGGGAGATGAAATGTCCAAGCCTGAAATGGAACAAGATGGACAAGTAGGGTTTGGAGGGAAAGGAAGGGAGATCAGGATGACTGTTTGGCCGGAGATTAGGCTGGAGGAAGACTCAGTGGCTTCCATCTCTACTTCACGCCCCCAGTTCCAGAGAGGCAGACCCTATGGCTTACAGTTTCCTCCAGTCACCCACAGATCCCACGCCCCTTGCCATAGGGGCCATCTCCCCACCTTTTGTTTTCCCTCTGGCTGTCAGGACCCTCCACACTGCGGTTCTCCACCAAGCAGCCAGGGGGAGCTTTTAAACATAACTTCAATATGTCATGCACTGCCGCCAAATTCTTCCATGGCTCCCTGTGGCCTCAATGGACACTTCATTCCAACCCTGCTGGCCTCCTATGTACCACTCTCAGCTCTACCTCAGAGCCCTTGTCCCTGCTGTTCTTCTTGGGGATACACTCCTCCCCTGAATCCTTGAATGACTGTCTCCCCATCTTTCAGGTATTCATTTAAAGGTCACCTCCGCAGAGGGGTCTCCCTCTGCGGAGGGAGCAGCCTTCAGTCTACAGTAGCAGCCTTCCCCAAGCCCTCCGACCACAGCACCTTGTCTTATTATCGTTGCATGCCTACCGTTATCATGGTATTTCTTGTGGTCTGTCTGGATTCCACGGAGAATATGAGTGCTGGGCACAAAGAAAGCACTCAGAAAACATGTGGACAGCCAGGTGCTGTGGCTCATGTCTGTAATCCCAGCACATTGGGAGGTCAGGAAGAGAGGATCGCTTGAGCCCAAGGGTTCGAGACCAGCCTGGGCAACATAGCAAGACCTCCACTGTACAAACAAATAAATAAATAAGCCAGGGGTGGTGGCCATGCGCCTGTAGTCCCAGCTACTCAGGAGGCTGAGGTGGGAAGATCGCCTGAACCCAGGAGGTCGAGGCTGTGATAGTGCCACTGCACTCCAAGCTGAGCGACAGAGACCCCCTACTCAAAAAAAAAAAAAAATGTGGAATGGGCAAATGAATGAATGAACGAAGGAAGGGACACATAAGACCCCAGCGGGTTCCCAAGTGGAGTCCTCCAAGCGCAGCCCAGGCCCAAGCAACAGTAAAGGGGTCCTGAGACGCTCCGGTCCCGGGCAGCCCCTCCACCAGGCGAAGCCCAGGGCGTCTCCGTGGAGACTGCGACAGGAACCGCCCCCGCCCGGCCCGCACTCCCGGCCTCCTTATCTGGAAGAGGAATGCGAGGTATCTACACTCGCTCGCGCCGGGGCTGCGCCTCGTCTCTCCCGAGACCGCCACACGCGCGGGAACCCCGTGCGTCCAAGCGGCTCTTCTCGGTTCCCCAGGGACCACGCCTGAACATTCCCGGAGGTCTGGGCTGGGGGAGACCCCGGCAGTAGGCGCACCCCGAGTCCCGCGCCCGCGTCACGCCACGCGGGGCCCGCGGGCTCATCGCGTGGCGCCCGGAGCTTCTAACCAGGACAAACACAGGGGGAGGGGGTGGAAATCCCCGGGTGAGTCATCCTGTGCTGGAGAAGGGGGCGCGTTCCGACGATCTGCAGGCCCGGGCCACGCAGGGTCCGTGCCACGCGTGCCGGGACCCACGCCCCATCCCTGGGCCGGAGTTGAAACAGGAGGCGCCTGAGCCACGCAGTCACTCTCCCTCTCCTTCCAGAACAAAGCCACGCCCCCGCTGGGGGACTGAGAGGAGAACCACTTGGGGAAACCAAGGCAGGCAGCCAGATGCGCAGGCGGCTGGCGACTCCGCTCCCCGAGGCCCCGCCCCTCGGTTGGAGGCTCCGGGTCGCGCACCACCTTTCGCCCTCGCTGGGCCGGAGTCAACCAGGAGGGGCGCGGTGCCCCTCCCTCGAGCACACGCCCCAGAACCCTGGTCCCCGGGCACGCCGTCCTGCCCCCCAAAGTCTCCAACCGAAAGTGCTCGGATTCCGCCTTCTCAGCGCCAACTTCCTGCGGTTGGGGAAGGCGCGGAGCGCAGTCTGGGGGCTCCCGGCCGAGTCAGTGGGGGCCGCCAGGAGTCGTGGAGAGGGCGCACGGCGGCCACTCACTCGGAGCAGCAGGAACACGGGCGACGCGTGCGCGCCCGGGGGCGCCCCAGTCCCCTGGCTGGGCCCCCGAGCTCCGATCCCGCGACCTCGGGGGACCGGGGCCCGCCCTTTCTGCCTCCCCCCGTCGCCACGCGCGCTCACCTGGCTAGGCCGGCCGGGTCCCTGCCCTGGCCAAGGGCCCTTGGCGTCGGCGTCCCCGGGGCGGCCGCGGCTAGGGCTGGGGCTGCCCGCCGGACTCGGCAGCGTCCCGGGGCTGGGGACCGGGGACAGTGGGGGGGCGGGGAGAGCCACCGCCTCGGCCCCCCGCTTGCCCCGCCCTCCTCTCCTCCCCTTTCCGGCGGCGCCTGCAATGAATTCCAGATGTGACCGGCCGGCTAGCCCGGGCGCGCGCTGGGGCCGGAGGGGCGGCGCGCAAGGCCTCTTTGTCCGCCCCCCCACACTTCTCGTTCTGCCCCTCCCAGCCCCCACCCGTGAGAACCGGCCGGCGCGTGACGTCGCTCAGCCCCGTGACGTCACGGTGCTCCTGGCCAGGTGGCCTCAACCTGAAACAACTCTCTTAAATTCCAGATTAACTTTGGCCCCCCCTTGGAACCCTGGAATTGGAGGAGAGCATGGGATCTCATTGATTTTCTTAACAAAGAGCCATGGAGCTTACTATGTGTCAAAGCAGCAAATAGGCATTAAGCGCCTACTGTGTGTCCATCCAACAATCAGGTTTCTACTGTGTGCCACGCCCTGCCCGGAAGACAGAATTGGTCTCTCCCTTGATAGGACTCCAGAATTCAGACGCTATCCCTTACCTCTAGGAGATAGGGAACACTCAACCGTCTATTCACTAACAGTTCCTTCTCTCTGAGGTGGACCGGCAGGACCTAGGTTGCGCCTGCTTTCCAGGCCCAGTCCCCTACCCAAGCAGCCCTCAACCTTTTTGACATCAGGGACCAGTTTTTGTGGAAGACAATTTCCTACCGACAGGAGTCGGGAGGCTGGGGGGTGATTATCAGGTATTAGATACTCATAAGGAGCCAGCAACCTAGATCCCTTGCATGCACAGTTCATAATAGAGTGCAAGTTCCTGTGAGAATCTAATGACACCTCTGATCTAACAGAACGCCCCGCTTGTCCGCGGTCCATCTCCTGTTGTGTTCCTAATAGGCCATGGACCCTTACCAGTTCTCAGCCCAGAGGATTAGGGAACCCCTGCTCTACTCAATTTTCTAATTTCTCCCTTTTTCTCTCATTCATCTTTTCCTGGGCATGTCTGTGTGTCCCACTTCGGGACAGTACTTTGGAAGGCTGAGGTGGGAAGATCCCTTGAGACCAAGCATATCTTCAGTGACTGATATTTGTGTAACTGTGGGGGTGGGGGGGGGCTGTGTGTAACAGATCAGCAACAGGGTAGGAGAGTCCCTCATTCCTTCAACATACGTTTTTGGTGCACCTACTGGGCCCAGCAGTGAGCAAAGCAGGAAAAAAAATTCCTTGTCCTGATGGAGTTTATGTTCAGGTGGGAAGATAGCCTTTTATTTATTTTATTTTTGAGTTGGAGTCTTACTCTATCACCCAGGCTGGAGTACAGTGGCACGCTCATGGCCACCGCTGCCTCCACCTGCTGGGCTCAGGTGATCCTTCCCCCTCAGCCTTCCAAGTAGCTGGAACTACAGGCACGTGCCACCACGCCCAGCTAATTTTTTTATTTACTGTAGAGATAAAGTCTCGCCAAGTTGCCCAGGCTGGTCTCGAACATCTGAGCCCAGGCAATTCTCTCACCCTGACCTCTCAAAGTGCTGGGATTACAGGCTTGAGCCACCACACCTGGCTGGAAGATAGCCTTTTATTTAATTTACTAATTTATTTATTTTTGAATTGGAATCTTACTCTGTTGCCCAGGCTGGAGTGCAGTGACGCACTCACGGCTATCCCAGCGTCAACCTGCTGGGCTCCAGCAATTTTTCTGCCTCAGCCTTCCAAGTAGCTTGAACTATAGGTGCGTGCTACTATGCCTGGTTAATTTTTTATTTATTGTGTGAGCCATCGAGCCCGGCCTGAACATAGTCTTTTAAAAGAGTGTCATTAGCCCAGTAAGGTAGCTTATGCCTATAATCCCAGCACTTTGAGAGTTCGAGGCAAGAAGATCACTTTAGGCCAAGAGTTCAAGACTAGCCTGGGCAACATAGCAAGACCCCCCCTTCTCTACATAAATTTAAAAATTAGCCAGTTGTAGTACTATGTGCCTGTGGTCCCAGCTACTCAGGAGGCTGAGGCAGGAGAATCACTTAAACCCAGGAGTCTGAGGCTACTGTGAGCTATGATCACTTCACTGCACTCCAGCCTGGGTGACAAAACAAGACCCCATTTTTTTTTTTTTTTTTTTAGTAAATACAAATACAGTAGTCTTGTGTGTACTGATGGGAAACGATCTTCAACGTATTAAGTTGAAAAAAGCCCAATGTGGGCCAATATGCACTGCATTTCGGGGTGTATTTATAAGGACTGAATAAATACACACACATTTGCCTGTGGGCGCACAGGCTATGTTCTGGAGAAGGCACGAGACACTAGTCACAGTGGTTACTCTCAGGGAGGGGAACCAGGGGGTGGGTAACCAGGTGAGAAGGGGCCTGCTTTCCATGGTATACCCTGGGGGGCTGTTTTAAATTTCAAGCTTCTGCTACCAATTCAAAAAAATGTACAAAGACATGAAAAATAAAAGGTAACAAGTCCCCACACTCTTAGTTGTAAAATAGTTCTTGTAGAAATCATAGTAAATAATATAAAAAATATTAATAACTTTTTTTTATAGAGACAAAGTCTTGTTCTGTAGCCCAGGCTGGAGTGCAGTGGTGCAATCACAGCTCACCGCAGCCTTGAACTCCTGGGCTCAAACAATCCTCCCGCCTCAGCCTCTAGAGTAGCTGGGACTACAGGTGCATGCCACCACGCCTGGCTAATTTTGTTTTTTTTTTTTAATTGGAGTCTCACTCTGTTGGCCAGGTTGGAGTGTGGTGGGGCAATTCTTCTACCTCAGCCTTCCAAGTAGCTGCAACTACAGGCACATGCTATCACACCCAGCTAATTTTTAATTTTTTTTTATTTATTTATTTATTTTGAGTTGGAGTCTTACTCCGTCGCCCAGACTGGAGTGCAGT